CTAAATTTGAGACCCCTCACTTTTCTTCAAACACACTCTTAACTGTTTGTAAGAAAGCAATTATATGTGGTATGCCTAAAATCGCAATTACAAACAAAAGACTCTATCATTTTAAAATAAGAAAGACCTGAAGAATAGAGTATTAAACTAAAAAATACAAAGACTCTTTATAATAAAACGACACACTAAAAAATTTAAAAGATGTATTTAAACAAGGAGAATCATCTCCTTAAAAATAAAACACATCAAATTAAAAAAATACACACCTTAACTAAATCTAAAAACCGCAACATCAATCTTCTTTATTAACTTCAAATCTAAATCTTTTATGAATTCAAATTCAATTAAATATTTTGCAAAAAGATTTATGATTTAACATAATCTTTACCAAATTCATTCAAATTAAAAAGCATTTTTTTTAAAACACACTTTTAATAAAACCTCTAATTGAATTAATAAAGAAACAAATTTCGAAATAAAGATTGAAGCGATATTCAAATAGATAAAGCAACACACACCAGAGTCATACATAGAAAAAATGCTTCACACTAAATGATGACATCTTACTTAACAAATTTTCTATAAAAATTAGCAAATCAAATGTAATAATACTATTGAACTAAATCCCATTAAGAGATAATATGGCTAGGAGAAGAGTCTTTCCTTTATCATGGTGAGTGTTTTGTCCTTTAAGTGAGGAGGATATGGAGAGTATTTTTCATGTGTTTCTTCATTGTAGGTTTATATTAGAGGATTAGGGTGACATGTTTAAATGGTTGTGTGTGATCCTAATTAAACCACCAACTTTATTTTCGTCCTTTGCGATATGGGTGGATCTAGGATTTAGTATGAAAATGTTCGAAGGGAGCTCATTTTGATTTAGCGTGTAGTTATTTGAACCATTCAGATGTCTAATAATGATTGTAATTTTTAACAATGGATAATGTTCAAGTCCTTTTCCTAGAAATGGTTTCTAGGTAGTTTTGCTTTAAATGAGTGTCTCATTAGAGAGTGCTCGTAGAATCCCTCAAGGGTTTTAATTATTGTTGTAAATGTGCCTTAAAACCTTTGTTGGTAAAGAGAAAAAAAATATTTTGCAGATTGCATTTACCGCGAAAATCGGAAGTTTTAGAAAGTAGGACGAAAAATCGAAAGAAAATAAAATTTGGTCGGTGAATAGTGTCGTCCGTACGGTGAATAGTGATATCTATACAGATGAATTGTGATCTCCATACGATGAATAATGTTGTCCGTACAGTGAATAGTATTTCGAGTTTTTAGGCTTTTTTTCGATTCGTGTCATGGATCCATGTGATTTTGGGCTTTGCTTGTTGGGTATTTGCTATTATAAATATGTATCTCTTATATGCTTGGTGTGTGACATTCTTAGAGTTTTCACCAACAAGGGAGACCAAGGGTTTAAAGGTATAACATAGGGTTTTAGCTATGCACAAAGAAAACCTTGGAATACACTTTGGGTTTGAGTGATTCATATATTGAGAGTTTGAGAGGTAGGGAAACACTTGGGGGTAGAAAATAAGGTTGTTCTTGTGCGTCTTTAGGGTTGTTCTTGGGAACCTGAAGACGGAGGTTATTTCCTTGTAATTCATCTGTAATCTTTTGCAAAAACTTTCTGAGTATAGTGAATTGGAGAGCTGCTCTCTCCCTTAGAGTAGATCGTTTGATCAAATTGGATAAACAAACCTTAGATTTTTTCTTACATTATTCTGTTATATTATCTGTGTACGGATTATTATAGTTATAGACCATTTATTTTGGTTGCTATTATTCTTTGCCTCACAAATTGATATTGAATTTTGTCATAATTCACAATAAGATTCCTAACAAGTGGTGCGATGAGTGGAGCAAAGAGATATTATTGATAAGTGAGCACCACGGTTAGTATATGGAAGATCGAGAAATTTTCCAGTAACAACGACTTTGGGTTATGGAAAATTAAGATACAAACAATTTTAATTCAAGAGAAGTGTATCGATGATTTGAAGAGTGAAGCATTGATACCTGCAGGGCTTACACAGGTACAAAAGACCGAAATTATAGATAAGGCCAAGAGTGCCATTATCTTGTGCCTCGGGGATAAATTTCTAAGAGGAGTCGACAGGGAGCAAATTGCAGTTGCTATGTAGGCAAAATTGGAATAATTGTATATGACAAAGTCTTTGGCTCACATCTTGTATCTGAAACAACAAATATATTCATTCCAAATGGTGGAGAACAAATCCATAGTTGAGCAGCTCATAGAATTTCACAAGATTATCGATGATCTTAAGAATATTGAAGTAAAGATTGATGATAAGGACAAGGCTTTTCTCCTGTTGAGTTCATTACCCAAATCCTTTGAGCCCTTTAAGGATGCCCTTATTTATGGTAAGGAAGGTACTATTACTTTAGATGAAGTCCAAACGGCGGTGAACTCCAAAGAATTTTCAAAGTCGTAAGATTTGAAGATTGAAGATAGTGGCGAAGGCTTAAATGTGTCAAGAGGAGGAGGTGAGCGTAAAGGGATGTCCAAATCAAAGAGGTCTAACAAGTCAAAGGTACAATGTTTTAATTGTCAAAAAATCAGTCACTTTAAAAGGGATTGTCCTGAAAGAAAGGCCAATGAAGATTCTGTTCAAGCTGTAGTTGCATTGGGTGAGGAAAGTTATGAGGATGCCGAAGCACTAGTAGTATCAAGTTTAGAAATTGAAGATAGTTGGGTCATTGACTCAGGTTGCTCTTATCACTTGTGTTCAAGAATAAAATACTTTGAAACTTTGAAGATGGTGCGAGGTGGAGTAGTTCACCTTGGTAATAATAAGGCATGCAAGGTTCATGGTAATGGTACAGTCAGATTTAAAATGTTTAATGATCGTGAACTTCTTATTCACAATGTGAGGTATGTTCCAAAACTCAAGCGAAATTTGTTATCTATAAGTATGTTTGATTATCTAGGCTATTAAACTAGAGTTGAACATGGAGTGCTAAAGATTTCACGTGATGAATTGATTATTGCTAAAGGGTTTAAAATATGTGGTCTATATCTTTTAGAAGGTTCAAATGTTATTATTCATTCGTCGTTAACTAGTGGAGACTTCCATGACAAGGAAGAGCTATCAGATTTGAGTTTAAGGCGTTATAAATGCCTTGAGAAAGTTTTAGAGGAGTACAATGAATTTTGCAGAAATCAAGGGATAAAAATGCATATTACCGCTGAGTTGTTATTGATTTTTTTGGGAAAGAGATGAGGTTAAAACATCTTAATTGGTTGGTAGAGAATTTCTTTAGAAGAATAATAGTGAAAACCAAGGGAGAAACCTGAGATAAACTATAATGGAGAAAACTCAGTTTGAGGTGGAGTTTCCTACTATGGATGCTAGCAGTAGTGAGGGAAAGGTTACAGAGATCTCTGATTATCATTTGAATCATGATAAGTTAAGGAGAGTTATTGTAGCATCTCAAAGGGAGGTTATGCTAGCCTTGGATATTATATTTTTAATGTAGCTGAAGGACTGCAAAATAAAAGAAGAAAAACCTTCAAAGAGGCATTTGAAAATAGGTGGAGTCAAGGGTGGTTGAAAAATCATACTTGTAGGCTTGTTAAATTACCTAGGAAGAAAAGGGTAATTGGGAACAAGTGGATGCAAGTTGCGAGATTAAGATTCAAGCGTTGCTTGAATTCGATCAAAGTTATTGATTAAAGTTTCAACTTGGTAGAGAGCAGCAAAGTTGTTGATTGTTAAATTGGTATCAACACGGTTTAAAGTCAAGATGGAGATTGTTGTAAATGTGCCTTAAAACCTTTATTGATGAAGAGAAAGAAAACATATTTTGAATATTGCATTTACCGCGAAAATCAAAAGTTTTAGAAAGTCGGACGAAAAGTCGAAAGAAAAAAAAAATTGGGCGGTGAATAGTGTCGCCCGTATGATGAATAGTGATATTCGTACAAATGAATATTGACGTCAGTACGGTGAATAGTATTATCCGTACAGTGAATAGTATTTCGAGTTTTTGGGCTGTTTTCAATTCAGTTCATGGATCCATGTGATTTTGGGCTTTGTTTGTTGGGTATTTGCTATTATAAATATGTATCTCTTATATGCTTGGTGTGTGAAAATCATAGAGTTTTCACCAACAAGGGATACCAATGGTTTAAAGTTATAGCATAGGGTTTCGGCTTACACCTTGGGTTTGAGTGATTCGTATATTGAGAGTTGGAGAGGTGTGCGCCTTCAGGTTGTTCTTGGGAACCTGAAGACGAAGGCTAATTTCTTGTAACTAATCTGTAATCTCTTGTAAAAACTTTATGAGTATGGTGAATTGGAGAGCTGCTCTCTCTTAGAGTAGATCGTTTAATCGAAATGGGTAAACAAACCTTCGGTGTTTTTCTTACCTTATTCTGTTATATTATCTTTGTACGAATTATTATTGTTGTAGACCATTTATTTTGGTTGCTATTATTCTTTGCCTCACAAATTAATATTGAATTTTGTCATAATTCACAATAAAATTCACAACAATTACCTAATGAGAATTTGCAGATTATGATCCACAATGTGGAGTTTGGTTCCAACGACTCTAGCTAACCCTAATGTTGTTTTGCTCGCTCATGTCCAACTATCATGGTTTCATTCCAGATAGTTTTATCTGTTTATGGTGGCTATTATATTAATACTGTTGCAGGGTAGTGATGCTGGATCTTTTCATTCATTGCTATTATTGATTGTTTTGATATTTACGGATCATTTTAGTAACTTTCATACTTAAAATTATCTTGTACTTTGCATATTTACTTCTTGCACATTTTGTACTTGAAGTGACGGTTCATAATATATTTTGATGTTAAGAAAACTCTTAATTTTACATAAAGAAACTAACAAACATACAATTAGGAAATTGGTCATCAGCCATCACTCACCAACATGCATGCTATAGCTATTGCAGATTGGCAAGGTTGATCGACCTTTATTATACATATATAGATAGCTCATCTCTCTTCATACGGTGGCTTTTGTAGGTTCCACGGGAACCCACAAAAGATGGTTTACAGGAAAAAAGTGACACACTGGAGTATTCTTCCCAGCCTTAATTCCAAGCTGCCTAAAGACAACATGATCTGGGTTCCAATCAGATGTATCCAAATGACAAATGCCAAGAGCTTCCATTTTGTCTCCATTATCATCACCAACAAGCATGACTTTGAACACTTTAGTCCCCGTAGATATGTAATGGCAATAGTAAATGGCATATGGATAAGGTAGGGGATGGCAAGCTACCCATTTGGGAGCATGGATATCATGTGATACTTCCAAAATGGTGTATTTCTGTAGATGGGTAGCTGTAGGTGATGGCTTGCTAGTACTGAGAATATTATGCTTGGTATTTGAACCAATGATTGTGTCAACGAATTCGAGCATCGACTCTAGAGAGTTGGCACAAATCTTTGTCTCTCCAGTAATGGTTTCTCCTTCACATTCTTCAAGTGTTCCTCTCATGGATTTGGCTTGAGTTGAATCTTCAGAGATTGAGAAGAGTTGTAGAACACTTGGGAGTTGTGACTTTGAGAGAGGAATGGAGTCTGCCTCCTTTTTTGGTAGATAAGGAGAAACCTCTTGGACTGGAAATTGGAGGGTCATTACATTTCCAACATGAATATCATCCAAATTGAAAAATCCTGTCTTGAAAGCTTCTGTGCGATCCATATTGGGAGATGCGTGTCCTTCTATATCTTTTGAGTTTAGAGATGTGAGGCCTTTTAGATTGAGGGAAGGTGGTCTATATTGTGTTATGTAAGGTTGATTGCTTTCATGTTTACCATAGGAAGTTATGTACGGTCCATTGGATTCATGGGCATGAGTTCTATACCCGGTAATGTAATCTGGTTGGTTGAGTTCATGGTTATCGTAGTTAGTTATGTATGGTTTGTTGGAGTTGTGGCTCTGAGTCCTATAATTGGTAATATAATTTGGTTGCTTGACTTCATGGTTACTGTAGTCAGTTAGGTAGGGTTCATTGGAATCTTGGGCATGAGTTCTATATCCGGCAATGTAATCGGATTTCATAGCATCATGATTACCATAGCCATTTAGGTAGGGTTTATTGGAATCTTGGGCATGATTCCTATATCCGGTAATGTAATCGGATTTCTTAGCAGCATGGTTACTGTAGGAAGTCTGGTAAGGTTCATTGGAATCTTGGGCATGAGTCCTATATCCAGTAATGTAATCGATTTTCTTATCATCATGGTTAGCATAGCCAGTTAGGTAGAGTTCATTGGAATCTTGGGCATGAGTCCTATATCCGGTAATGTAATCAGATTTCTTAGCATCATGATTACCGTAGGAAGTGAGGTAAGGTTCATTGGAATCTTGGGCATGAGTCCTATATCCGGTAATGTAATCAGATTTCTTAATATCATGGTTAGCATAACCAGTTAGATAAGGTTCATTGGAATCTTGGGCATGAGTCCTATATCCAGTAATGTAATCAAATTTCTTAGTTTCATGGTTACCATAGGAAGTGAGGTAAGGTTCATTGGAACCGTGGATACGAGTTCTATACCCAGCAATATAAGATTCTTCATCCGAATCCCCTTGTTTGTGATCTCGCAACACCGCCTTCAAGTCTCTTGCAGTGATGACCTGGCCATTCTAAAAATTATGTTAATAAGAATATTAGTGGCTCAATAAATCAGCCATATATATAAATATATATATATTACTACATGTTTTATCTGCAAGGACTTTTAACCATAAAAACGTTACTGCAAGTATTTTCTCTTACAAATTACAATTAAATTTGACTAAAGATTAAAATATTCAAAAGAAAAATTATAGGAGAGAAAATAACATAATCAATATTTAAAGTTGACTAAAAAAACATTATTTTCTCCAAATCACACAGGTAAGTCTTTACTATAAATGGAAATTATCCTTAATGTGGTATCATTGCAAACTTGCAAAAACAAAGTATATAATAGAAGTAATTACCATAATGAAGAAAATGAGTACAGTAAGAAACTGAAGTGGTAGTGTATGAGCCATCTTTGAGTATTGTGAATGAGTTCCACTTTAAGATAAGTAACCTTTTTATAGGCGCTATTGAGGCTTTAACGAAGGTGCTATCGTGGTTGCATGCATTGAAGATCTAACAACATATATTTTAACATTATTAATACAATGAGTTGCTTGGTATATAAGGAAAGCCAAAATTGTAACATAGCACAGTGAGTGAAGTCCAATCTTATCTGTTATACTCCCTCAAGATAAGAGTGAAAATTTTCAACGTGCAAGATCCCATTTTTTCTCTCCGAAGAGAGTTATCTTATTGTGAAATGAATAATTTAAGAGGAGTACACACAACTAGTGAAAAACAAATGTTAAGAGATGCCCTTTTTAAACTTGTTATACAGTGAAGATCGAGTTACAACGTAAACACAGCAACAATTTGCGCCAGCAACTTGTTGGTATTTTTGCTTTAATTTGTGATAGACTATAATGATGTTATCAAAATAATTCTAACACATGATCAAAGAGAGGATGGATATTCCAAGATTTTAATTTAATTTTTTTTTGTTGAGAATATACATTCAAATTTTAGAAATATGAAGATGAATTTTGCAAAGAGTCTTGTAAATCTAAGCAATAATGATCCACTATAGGTTTCTAAGCCACATTCTTGCTTTGTGAAAAATTTTATCATCACATCTATGAGAAGCAATTTAGAAGTGATATTTAGAAATAGAGTTTTAGCCTCTTTGTGAGAATAGATCCTTTGTTTCAATCATAGTTTGGTGAGAATTGAGAGATAATATATATCATCTGAGATGGGTCGATTGAGAAATATTTTCTTGTATCAAGAGAGTTTATAATCCTACTTTTCTATAGTTGAGATATATTAATGGAGTATGTCTTATGGTTTTTTCCGTTCAAATTGAGAGGATTTTTAACATAAAAATTCTTGGTGTGATATACATTTTTTTTTTTGGGTCTGTAGACGAAGTGATAATAACCACTAGAAATTTGCACAACCGTGAGTATCAGGGTTTGAACTCTGATGATGACGTTCAATCTAATAATATTGGATTCTTCCAATTGAGTTAAGACTTGCGGACGGTGAAATATAAGTTATTCTCTTTATTTGTTGCTTCTGCTTAATCTTTTAGTGCACGTCTAGGAAAGTTTTTGCTAAGAAAAGAGTTGGTATTTAAGCCTTTCCTTTAAACCACATCTCTTCTCTGGGATCTTACATGGTGCACCATCTTCACAAACTCATTTTTATTTTAGTATACGACACTAGTCCGACTAGATAAAAAAAATAGTGTCTTGTGTAAATTCAAAATTAAGTAATCATGATTCAAAAATAAATTGATCAAAGCTTGTTCGATCATGTACTAACTTATACCAACACACTTAATTTGGACAAAGCTTGGATCATTGATCCAAAAGAAAGACGCCCAAAAATATAACTCACCTTGTTAGGTGACGGGTGAAGTCGGAGTATTTTGACGAGCATAACATGATCGAACATATAAATACCTTTAAAGATATTGTAAACTATTTAGAGAAAACTAAAATGAAGATGTTGATGAGTTACAAACACTTGTACTCTTCAATTTATTGTTTAGGAATTGGGGCACTCTAATTGTAACTCTCAACAATTATGCCCCAGACAGAAAGCATAACATAGACTTATTTCAAAACCCTAAATCCTAACAATTTTGTTCTAGGCAAGACAAAGGAAAAAAGGCTTGAACAATTTGTTCGAAACCAATGTCTTTGAAGATGGAAGAAGGGGTAAGTATTAAGAAACTTTTGGTGGTGAAAATTCCTAAGGTAGATCCAAATCTCGCATTAGATTCAATTGATTTTATCGTGGAAAACAAAACATAGAAAATCTAAGTGTCGATTATTGAAAAGAGTTCAACAAGTTGGGACTATTCATCTAGATTAGATTGACCAAAAGAAAAAGAAGGAAGACAAAATCACTGATATAGTGGCTTCAGATGAAGAAAATGTATTTCTTATCGGAGACGGCAATGATCTAATTATAGTATCTGATGATTGCATTTAGATAATTGACTTGAGAGCATCCTTCCATGTTACTCCTTATGAAGTATTTTCTCATCATACTAGAAAAGAAATTTGTGCACTTGGAGGAGTTTGTTAGAACAAGATTTGTTCATGACATATAATCTTTGGATTTTGATGATGACAAAAGTATTAAAGGAACTATGGTATTATTTGATGTGTGTTTCAAATATGCAGGTTATAATGCTTGAAGATATTCATTTAGAATCTGATATAAGGACACGCTCAAAAGGAGTTGAATTACTAGCTTTTGGTGGTGCACAATTTGAAGAACACTCTCTATCTGATATCTGGTGTAGACTCTGAAGCTGAAGGTGTCAACATCACAAGAAACAACATATTATTGTTGCACCCCAAAATTTTCCTAACCTTTTTTCTTACTTGGTTTATGTTTCATTGCATTGGCATATCATTGATCTAACATTTGCATAGCATAGCATTGTTCATTTGTGCAGGGGATCAAGTGTGGTTTATATCCAGAGGAGCCTATCTGGAGGTCTTATTCAAGCTTGAGAAGTCACCATAGTCATCAGGAAGAGGGTTGGGTTCTTGAGAAGTTCAATTGTTGATATGTGGTTAATCTCCTAGTCTGAGGACCAATTGAAAATCATCAGTGGGTTGTAGAGTCTTGATCAAGGAGAGAGTGTGTGGATAGATCTCATGGAGTGCCTTGAGGGTCATGGTGGAGCTCAATCAAGTCATTATGCCAAGTCTGAAGAGCCACAGTTGAGGGTGTTGCAATTAGGGTTTTCATCTGAGTAACCCTAAGTCAATTGTGCAATTGAAAAGGATTAAAGCTTAATTCTAAGTCTTTGTAACCATGGATAGTCGTGTTGAGACACATGAGGTGATATTTCAAGATCAATTCAAGAAGAATTTAAAGTGTGAGGAGTTGCTAAATTAGGGTTCTCAGGGTAAAATCCCATATTTAGTGCCTAACTTCAAGACCACTTATCTCAAGATTAAAGTTTCATATCCACTTTTGGCCAACATGAAACTTGTAGAGCATGTTCTTAGCTTTAATTTTAGTACTAGAAGTCCTCCATTGGATTTATAGAACTCAAGTTATGAACCAGACAAGTTACAGGTCATCTGAGGAATGTGAAATTTGTCTGTGAAAGTTCACCAACTTCCAAGGAACTTTTGACCTAGAAGGGTGTTTCTCCTAAACTTTTGGCTAACATGAAAGTTGTAGGTCTTGATCTTAGCTTTCCAAATTGTACTAGAAGTCTTCCATATGATTTGTAGAACTCAAGTTATGAGGTTTACAAGTCAGGGGTATTTTGGGAAAGTAAGATTATAGGTCATTTGGCATTATAGGTCATTTTCACTATCTTTCAAGTTTCAAATGAAATTTTGTTCAACACAAAACTTGTTCCAAATGACGTTTTTAGGTCAACCATGTCCTCATGATGAATTGATTTAGCTTAGGGTGAGATTTGGTTTGAGAAATTTGGCAAAAGGATGAATTTAAAGGCATTTAAGTGAAAATTCATAATTAATTCATTTTGTGCTCAAACAAGGCAAGTGGGTACTCATTTTAATCAGAAAAACCATTTTGAGTACTTTGGCATTTTTAGAATTTTCATTTGAGGTCAATTTCATATCTTTGTGGCTTGTTACTTCATGAATAAGCAACACATCACAACTTGCTCATATGATAAGTTCAAGCTCTCTAATCACTCTAGACACTTTCAACGGACCACAAGGAGTTGAATGGAAGCTTCCAAGGGAAGTTTTGAGCCAGAATTCGTGCTCTCCATTGTTGAAGTTTTGAAAGAAAATTGAAAAGTGGATTTTCTGATTTGGGCCTCCATTGGATAAAAAAAGCCCACAAAACACTTCTATTTAAGTTCTATATTGAATTCAGAACATTTTTGGTGATTGATTCGTGCTAGAACCAGAGCTTGCAAGTTGAGTTTCAAGAGGAGAAGTGAGAATCGTGATTTCTTTTCCAGGCCAATTCAAAGCAAATTGAAGTTACAAACACCTTCGGCATCAAGCATTGAACGGATCTGCATAGTTTGAGGCTAAGAATCGTGTTCTAGATACCTCAATTTCAAGCTCTAACACAGGTATGTAGTTTTCAAAATTACTGAAGATTCATCATGATTTAGCATCTGTTAGCATGCGGTTAAGCTTTAGAAAGTTGCTTAGATGGATTTTGGATCATGAATTGAGAGATTAGAGACAATTTAGGTTGGCATGTGATTTCTGTTTGGAATTGGTGTGGCCTGATCTTGAGGATTCTACATGATCTATTTAGTTTAGGTTGACCAGTGTAACAAGAGAAACAGATCTATGGTTTTAGTTTGAGGATTGGTGAGATTTCAGAATGAGGTGAATTTTAAGATCTTCTTCGTGTTTTATTTTCTGGTGAGAATTAGAGGAAATTTATGTCATATTTGAGTTCAGCGTGAGATTTGGAGTAGAACTGTGTCAAATTTGCTAAGTTTCCATGACCTGCAAGTGTTTGGTCGCCGGAGAAGACGGTGGCGCATCACCGGACCACCGTCTGGTCCACCTCTGCAAACTTTCCCTCCATTTCCCATTCAAACGAAGAAGATGAAGTCTAAGCCCTTGGATCATCCTGAAATAATGACAAAGTCCCCTCATCGTGTGGCCACGTCTTAATCTGAGAATTTGAGTTTTTTGGAATGAAACACGGTCGTTTCATTAATGAGGTGGCACCACTAGGGCCTTAGATCAGCTTGACCAGTCTCCTCATCCAACGCTCCTCTTTTATTTCTGCATTTTATTTTTTCTTATTTGTTTTTTATTCATTTCTTTTTATTTTAATTGCTTGAATTTTCTAAAATTCATTTTAATTCCAATATTCATCAGAAAAATAAAATAAAAATATGTCCATGCTCCTCATTTCATTTGTAATTTTTCCGTGCTTTTACATTTGATTTTTGCTTATTTTTCAATTTAATTTGATTTTATCCATTTTA